AAAAAATACAGCAAACTGGTCTGTTTTCATTGCATTATGCAGATGAAATGACAAGTTGTCATTTAAGAAGTTAATAAACAGTCACCATTTTGCAGGTTATCCAAATGCTACTGAATAGAAAACCTTGGATCTCTAAATGATGTGTAATTAAAATTATTTTAAAAATCCTCCTTGACAGGCCAGGGCTTAGCCAAAATGTAAATGACATTAAAGAAGACAATGAATTTAATTTTATTTAATGTCCCTTTTTGCAGATCCTCATTTACATAGCATTTTTAACAAAAGCGTTGACCTTATAAATGCTGGCATTTGTACAGCTTCTGCAGAGTTGGATTTAATCATGCTTTCGCAAAGCCATAAGGGAAAAAGCTTTAAGTTCTCTGGTTGGATATGGAGTAGGAATAAAAACATTGGGACTGGTCAAATGTTTATCCTCCTTGCTTCTGAAAACAACCTGACAAGAAGATGTAAAGGTCTAGGGAATAACCCATTGCTGTTTGTAAGGCTTGGTAATAATCATACATAATCGTTTGGAAATATAGCTAATAAAAAATATAATGAGTGTTCAGCAAAATCGGCATTAGGCCCAAATTACATGATATTAATACTTGAACAGGTGCAGAAAGGCGCTTTAAATGAGGTAAATGAATAAAATGTCCCAGAGCACAACTGTGTGCACTGACAAAAAGTCAATCACATGAATAATTCAGCGGCCGGGACTGCCAGCAAAGGTCAGCGGCTCTCACCTTTGTGACGGGAAGTGAAAGGAAACGCTGCTGCTGACGAAAAAAAAAAAAACCACCCTCGCCCTCCAGCCGCCTCGTTGCCACCCCGCCGAAGGTGTAAACTTGGAGTAGGGAGGAATTAAAGCGCTGCACCGGGGAGCCGTCATAAAAAAAAAAGTAATAATAAAATAAAATAAATAATAATAATAAAAAAAACAACCAGCGTGAAGGACCTAGTCATTTAGGAAAAATAATCTGAAATTACAGCCAGGGAAAGGTTAAGGGGGGTGGCTACCAGCAATGTCAATTATCTCCCAAATCTGAGGTCACTCGAAAGGTATTTTAAGGGCCTACGGGACTGAAATTTTGTAACAGCTGTTAAATATGACAAAACTTTTTATTCCCCCAAACTAAAGCTATTCCAAACTCCGTATGAAAGAAATGGGATAAGCAGATGTCTGGCTTCCATACAGGAAAGTAGGACACACTTGGAATGATAAGTCTCCTAAACTCTATAGAATAATGCCAGATTTATTGGGGAGGGGGGTATTTACTACCCACGGAGATGCCAACTAGCAGTAGGACTGTGATGGTACCATCTGGAAACCCGCTGCAGAGCAGGCGCTCGGTGACGCTCGGTGAGCACATCCAGCTCCACCAGCCCTGCCACTGCTCCACGCTCCGTGTTCCGACAGGGACACGCTCCCACCGCCCCGGCCGACCCACCATCAACAGTTGGACCCCCGGCCTTGGGGTGCACCGAGCCCGAGAAGGCAGTGAGAAGTCGAGGGGATGGATCCGAGCAGGAATTTCCATCCCTCCTAATGAAATATAGGATGGTGGCACGGAGGAATTATTTTAGCACAGAGTGTGGTTTTGGTTTAGCAGTTACAGCGGCATCCTGTAATCATTTACAGCCCTTGGAATGTATGGGTGAAATAGGAGAGATTTATCTGTTCATAGTTGTGATATGTAGACAATGGGTGTTCCTAATGAGGAACATCTGCTTTTGTGTTTTCCCAGAAAACATTATTCCACTATGAAAATGATACTCCCATCCTTTTCAGCAACACCACAAAGAAAATATGGGCCTTTTCCTTTCTTTTATTTGCTTTTCTTTGGGTCAATCTAATTTCCCAGGGACACTTTTTCTGTGGCATCTTTTTACTGACTGCGCTGCAATTTACGGTGGGTTTGTTCTTTAACACGTGAGTTACTGTGCTGGAGGAACGGCCCCGAAATGCCAGAGGATCCTTAAATGTGTACAGTAATAAAAGCCTCCACACTCAGCCATGCTCCGTGAGAAACATCCAGGCGACGTAAATAAAAATTCCCAGTGAATTAAAAGGTCGCGGAGGCTCCCGACACCAAAAACTGCTTCCAAGGCCTCAGGTTTTGCTTTTGCATTTTGAGCCCACTGCAGGATTCAAACGTGTAATTACATAAGTTTATTTAAAATATCACCACTGCTAACAAATTATTATTCCTGAGGTGCATAAGGGTTTTTTTTATTATTATTGTTTTCCTTCTGTTTGTTTTGTTTTGGTTTTGTTTTTTTGTTAATCCCAGCATGATAAACAATTCAGACTATCACAGAGTCTCCTAGTGTGGGCTGGAACAAACGGGTGGCCATAGATCTCAATTCAGGATTGAATTATTGGTTCATATCCTGAGGACAAATATGCCTTATCTGGTCAAAAGCTGCTAAATGCATCCAAAGGACAAAAGGATCTAGTGAAGCATATGGGATATAATTCTGTTTGTTTGTTTGTTTT